AGAACCCCTCAATAGGGAATGATCACACCACAAGCATTTTTCTTCCATTTCTCCATGCCATCAGAATTTGAAGTACACATATATACCCAACATGTTTTTCAAGTTGCCGGGGCCAGGATTCAAACCATAATCAATGATGTGGGATCCAACTTTCTATGTACAGCACTTAACTGCTGTACTACAGGGCTAATTAACCCTGAAAAAGTAGCTTTTTAAGTTCCTTGTTCTTTGCAGGCAATTCAGATGAGGAGCAGGAGCAACAACGATATCCTGGTTTTATTTTTGCACACACACACGGACAGTTGGAAGCAAAGCTGGGAGGAACCAGGGGAGCAATTTTTCAAGACCTCATTCTCCAAGAATGCCTTTGTAGTAATTTTCAAAGGTGACACAATGACATGATTCTTTTTAATACTATAGTGAGAAAGATTATGAAAGTAACAGTGAGATATCAAGAGAAGATATTTAAAGGGTTTTTTTTGTGTGTGTTAAATGTTTATTTTCTCTCAATAAAGATATAAGCCCCACCTCCAAGCTTTTTCTTCTGTTACAGAACCTGGCTTTGTCTCTATAGACATTTCTATTGATGTAGATCCTTACTGACAAGTACTCAGTACTGGATTCCCCTCTGTTAATGTTTTTAAACATAATTTAGTCATATGTCACAGAGCACATAAAACTTTGAAAGAGGTCAAGGCACTGTCATGTATGTATGCTTTGATTTCAAGGGTTGTTGTTGGTTTTTTTTCATACAGCATATTTCTGATGGTAGTAAACAAGTACTTGAACAAAACTTTTTCTAACATTTTAAGGACAAAGTAAGATGTTTGGTTATAAACAACAAAAATCTGTCCAAGTAGCCTACTGTATTAAATGGTGGTGACAGTGGTACAAGCATGCAAGAGCAAGGAACCCTTAAGTAAGCTTCATGAGAACTGAAGCATAATTCTCTCTCCAGCACCTCATTGTTTCTTATCTATTTCAGTCTTCCTCTTTCAGTAAATCATGTTTGCCCGTACACAGTTGTCATTCTTACATTGCCAGTCGTTATGCACGTAAGGTTTTGACTACTATGTCATGCTATCCTAATTACCAGGACGTCATTAGTAAATGATGACTAATACCACAATACAAAGTTTGTAAACTGTTTTCTCTTTGAAGGGTAAGAAAGAACTAGGAGAGAGGGGGTGAGAGAGAAAAAGGAAGGAAGAACAAGAAGGAGAGAGGTGAGGGAGAGGAAGAGACAGAGGAAGAAGGAAATTCAGTCTATTCAGCTAGGCCAGAGAGAAGGGAATTTATTTTATCTAGTTAAAATATCAGTTAATTCTGAAGGCCCCATATTCAAGTACTGTGTTACGCTCAGACAAAAATGTATATAAATAATGTTTAAAACAGCTACTGTAGAATTGTGATGTAACAGATCTAAATAATTTATTATATATCTTGGTGTGCATATTAATAGTAACACACTGATTAGATTCTCTAACTTTTTTAGAAAGAAATTAGTTTTTGTGAAAATTGAGTACTCGTTGAAGCAGAAAAAGAACAAAATAAGTGTTTCACAAGTTCAGGATTACAAAGACTTCCTATATTGATTTCAAAACCCTAACCTTCAATTTCTTTAGACATGAAAAAGATCAGATACAGATCAAATAGTTAAGATCATGCTTACATTAAAAGCATCCCCAAAGATATTTTGCAAAACAATTTGAAATTATTTCTTGACACCGTAGACCTAATTTATTTCTCCAGACTTAGACTATGTCATACATATGTATTAAAACTAGCCATGTGTTATGAGCACTTTTTGATTGAGGCTAAAGTTTAGTTATAAAATTGTGTCAATCATGCATACAGATTTTATTTTTATGTAGTAATTATATTATCTGTCTTTTTTTATTTTTTTAGATTTCCTTTTCTGGATGAAAATGTTGTCTCCTTTCTAAGTTCCCTACCAGTTTGGGAAAAGGCAGACTTGACTTTACCCCGTGGAATTGGTGAAAAACTAATTTTACGCCTTGCAGCTGTGGAACTTGGTCTCACAGCCTCCGCTCTTCTGCCAAAACGGGCCATGCAGTTTGGATCTAGGATTGCAAAAATGGAGAATAATAATGAAAAAGCATCTGATAAATGTGGACGACTCCAAATCGTTTCTTTAGAAAAGGAGATTAACTCCTAATATTAAACAGTGTAACACTAGTTACTGAATGACAGTTCTATAAAAATATAATACTCTTCTGCTTTATTATTGTATAATGTAGTGGTTTTAAAGTTCATTACATTAATTTTTGCTTTTCTGTCACAGACCTTATAAAACTGGTAGAATTACCTGAATGATACAAATGCCTTCTTTTACACTCATCGTGAATTCCTTTTGATCACACCTGTGTTTATGCTAGTGAAGGGTGAAGTCCTGCGGCTGGGGCTGGTCCCCAGATAGACGAAGTGTTTAGGGAATTAGAATCTCAGCCTCACCCACCAGCCTCTGAAAAAGAGAGGTAGGGCTAGAGATTCAGCTCTTTAAAAACTCCTGAACAAGGGAACCAGCAGTTAGCGTAATGGCTATGTCGCTGGACTCCCACGTAGTCGACCGCGGTTCGTGTCCCGGACCCGGTGGCTTAAAACTCACGCCGGGCGCGTGTGCGTGCGTGCCCAAGATCCCGAGAGGAGAATGAAGGAGAAGGGATTGCGGCGTGACCATCCCCCCTGGGGGGTGATTTCTCGCTTTCTGTCTCTATGTCTCTGTCTGTCTGGCGAGTGCACGCGCCCTACAGTGAAAATCTCTCCAAAAAAAAAAATAAAAAACTCCTGAACAAGAGTTGAGCTTCCGATTTGTGGAACATTTGGAAGTTTGGGAAAGGTGGTGTGCTCAGAGAAAGCATGGAACTACAGCTGCTTCTTCCCTCCCACCCGTCATACCTTGCCCTATGCATCTCTTCCATCTGACGGTGTCTGAGTTGCATCTTTTATAATAAACTGGTAAGTAAAGTGATTCTCAGTTCTGTGAGCCTTTCTAGCAAATTTAAATTGAGAAGTGGGTCATGTATACCCCCAGTCTGTAGCTGGTCATCAGAAGTACCAGATGTTGGAACCAGCAGGTTACATCACTGGACTCCCACATGGTCAACCACAGTTCGAGTCCCAGACCCAGAGGCTTAAAAATCACACTGGGGGTGTGTGTGTATGCCCAATATCCCTAGAGAATGGAGATGAAGGGATTGCAGCATGGCCATTACCCCTTGGGGGGTGATTTCTTGATTTCTGTCTCTCTGGCAAGCACATGTGCCGTGTTAGCAATCTCTAAAATCAAGATAGAAGCGTAAGATGCCTGAAATTTGCACTGAGCATCTGAAGTGCGGGCAGTCTTGTGGGATTGAGCCTTAATTTGATCTGATACTAATTCTGGTAGACAGTGTCAGAACTGATTTAAGTTTTATTTCACCCCAACTCTTAAGAGAGTTGGAGAATTGCTTGGTGTGGGAAAATACCCACACATCTGGTGTCGGAAGTACTGTGTGAGAGAGCAAAGAAACTGTTTTCATGGTAGCTACATCCAGAAATGACTCAATTAGCTGTTGTCCTCAGGGACCTTGGTTTAAATAAGACCCTGTTCGACAGATGGGAGAACGAAGGTTTAGAGGAGCCAGTTTGCCTGAGGTTCATACTCCTGTGTCGGGAATGACCCAATCTGAGCTGAACAACGGTGACCTTAAAGAGCAGAGCAAAGCACAGACTCTCACTTGGGCCAATACTGAAGAAACTAGCTTCGTTCAGCCATAAAGGCCAGGCGGGGCTTATTTAGAACAAAGACGCTCCACAGCTGCCGTACCTAGCTTTACCTTGCGCTTCGCCCTCCCCCCATCGCCTTATAAAAGAAGAAACCTGGGGACAGCTCAGTGCTGTGGTGGTCTCCATCAGAGACGTCTAGTCCACCTGATCCCTGCTCTTCTGTACTTGTGTGTCTGTCCTTTCCAGATTTCACCATGGCTCCCACTTGGGGGGTATGTCCTCCCCATTTTGCCTTGCAGGTTTCAGCATTTCTGAGCAATGCTTAATATTTCTATTATATCTTAGGCAACTCTTCCCACTCAGACTTTTAAAAGCTTAAACATTCTTTAGCTTTATGACACAGGTTTTTCACATCAAAGTCACTTATGAACTGCCTCCACTTTCCAATACCAGATTTTTTTTTTTTTTTTAATAGTGGAAATTTATTTCCCATAGTTCTGGAAGCTCGAAGTCCAAGATTGAAGCAATAGCAGGTCGGTTTCTTCAGGAACCTCTCTCCTTGGCTTGCAAGTAGCACCTTTTCCCCATGTCCTCATGTGCTCATTTTTGCTGGTGTGTGTGCCCTGGTGTCTTCTAACATCAGAACCTCTAACTTACCTGTAGTGGAACCCTTTCTTTTTTTGCCCTTACGAAGGGAAAAGTATCACTCCTCAGATTGCTATGCCTGTAGCTGTTCCTTGTATCATACACTCCCTGCTTTTCAGGAACCTCATACTCCTCTAATATCTTCAACCTCTTCCTGTCTAGGGGACCTTCCTGTCAATTTTTAAATATTTCAGTCTGTATTAATTTAAAATGCACATCCACAGTCCTATATCCCCTCCTGCTTACCATACCTTGCCTCCCATCCATATTCACTATCTCCACCTTCTCATCAGTTCTCTCAACTACACTCCAACTGCCATCAACCCATAGACCTCAACTGTTAACCACCATGGCAACATCACTAGGAATCTGTCCTCAATTAGGGCAGACACCCTTTCTGCATCTGGCCACATTTTGACTCTCTTTTTTAAGAGAGATCTTTGCAATAGGGTGCATATGCTCACTGGAGACACAGAGAAAGAGCAACAAAAAGTAAGAAATCACCCCCTAGGGGGGATTACACGATAATCCCTTCTCCAGTCTCATCTCAGGATTTTGGACACACACTCACACGTGCCCGGCGTGAGTTTTAAGCCACCAGGTCTGGGACTCAAATTGTGGTCAACTACATGGGAGTCCAGCAATGTAATCATGCCATCTACTGGTCCCTACTTTGACTATTTCAATCACAGGAAAGAGATTTTGGAGTACTGATAAACAGAAGTCTGTCAAAGGCTATCCATGTCGTGATTTTATTCCTTCAAAAATACAGTGTTCAATGGGACCAGTTAGCGTAATGGCTATGTCCCTGGACTCCCACGTAGTCGACCGCGGTTCACATCCTGGACCCGGTGGCTTAAAACGCCGGGCACATGTGCATGCGTGCCCAAGATCCCAAGAGGAGAATGGAGGAGAAGGGATTGCAGCGTGGCCATTCCCCCTGGGGGGTGATTTCTCACTTTCTGTCTCTATGTCTGTCTGTCTGTCTGTCTGTCTGGCGAGTGCACGCGCCCTGTAGCAAAAAACTCTCAAAAAATAAACAATAACAACAAAAGAGTGTTCAAGACATATTTTAAAACAGTCTGCATAGCTTTCATTCCCATCTAAAGGCAGAGAACCTCAGGTGCTTTGGTAGTTGTGAGTACAAGATGAACCTAAGAAATTTGCCCCACAGCTTAGAGGCAAATAGAACAACAGGGTTTAATACTAAACATAGCTATCCCTTGTAATGTTATGTGCCAAGTATTATTCTATGAAATGTACATGCATTAATCAGTTGAATCTCTGTTAAGAAATGTTTAAGTCAACTGTTCCAGCAGGATGTGTGTGTGTGTGCATGTGCATGCACATGTGCGTGTGCACAAGTGTGTGCAGATGCACGCGTGCATGCATGAATCTCCAACAGACCTGATTATTTGCAACCTTTTTTGCTATTTAATCCCATTAACTCTGGGATAAAGTACAGTTCATTTCAATTTCTCACCTCAATTTTTTCACAACTGCTGTTCCCTGTCCCTGAAAACTACTACAATTCTTTTTTTTTTTCCCACTTAAATTTTTTTCTCACTTATTTTTCCAGTTCTTTGCTTTAATAGCTCTTTTTCTCCCAGGTATGGCTCAAAAGGTCCTTTCCTTGAGGCCAGCAGTTGGCATAGCTGTTATGTCACTAGGCTCCCACAAGGCTGACCATGGTTCAAGTCCTAGAGCTGGTGGCTTGAAAATCAAGTGTGCATGCGTGCCCAAGATCCTAGGAGGAGAATGGAGGAAAGGGGACTGTAGCATGGCCACTTCTCTGTCTCTCTCTACCCAGCGTGTGCTCACATCCTAAGACAAAAAAAAAAACAAAAAACTAAAAATATAGTCTCTTCCTCAGGGCAACCTTTCCCAACCGTTGGTCTAGGTTAACTAGTTTATTATCATCACACCTTAAATTATCATGTTGTTAAATCTATTTAACTGTAAGCTTCTTGGGGTTTTGTAACTTTCCTGTTGACTATACTCTAGCCCCTAGCACAGTGCCTGGCTCATAATAGGCGGTCTGCAAGTGTTTATTGAGTGAAGAATGATGACAGAGGTGGGATTCCAACTCAGAACTACCTCAGAGCTGGTTGCTTTCTCTTCTACCACTTCTTGTGTTTTAGCATAGAGCCCAGACCACTGGGCTGGACAGAGTTTTGGAGAGGAATTAGGGTGAATTTGAGCGGTGGCCAGTGATTGTGACGCTGGCCGGAGGCACAGGGGCATCCCCCTAACTGCGGTGCTGCCGGCCACACCAAAGCCCTGTGAGTGGAGGCAGGTGAGGCCAAGGGCTCCCCGGAAGACCTTTGGCGGGAGCAGGCCTCTCAGGCCCTAGTCCCAACGAAGTGCCTCCCTGATCCTACCAGAGCAGCACCTCCAAGCCCCGTCTGCGCAAGGGTCCTGAAGACCGAGTCAAGTCCCACCAAGAAGCCTTTCCAGGAGTCGACTGTCCCTTGCTGCTGGGAATAATTCAGGGACCAGCGTGGGCTCAGCTTCCCTCTCCTAGACAAGAAAATAATCATTTCAAAGTAGGCCTTTTCTTTGTCTTTTCTGCTTTTCTGTGTAGCGGCAGCCGCGACCTGGTTGTGGCTATAAAAGTCTTGGGCCCAAATTATGGACAGACCTGGGTTCTGACTCTCAGGCATGTCCTGTAACCTCCCTCATCTCCATTTCTGCGTTTACGAAGTGGGCTAACAATGCCTGTCTCTCTGAGCTGGGTTCTCTAAGTGTGCCTGTCAGCCTGGCCGCATCAGTGTTACCTGTAACCGCCAAACTGCCAAAAGGAATCCTCCAGTCCCGCCCAGCTGAGTGAGAGAGAAACTCCGAAGTGGATCCAATGATCTGTTTAACAAGCCCTACCAGATTTTAATACAGGCAAAATTAGGAGAACCACAGTAAAACGGGTCGGTTAAATGAAATAAAGATATGATGTATAAGGAGCCTGGCA